AGGTTAGCTCAAGGAGCAGAAAATATATATATATATATGCATATAAAAAAATTCATGTATTAAGCAATTTGGCACTCATGTATTGTTTACATCTACTTGAATAGATTCCGTTTCTTCTAAGACTGGACTCCATTAGCACCTTGCATTGTTATACTAGCTACAATTATTTCAGGTACCAGTATCCAAGAGATAAAGACTCCAGCATTATAATGGTTTTGAATTTTAGGATGTCTAAGCCATCAAATGCTGCCACCCTTACAATATGTGTTGATGATGACTATGGAAACAAATGCTTTGTTTCTATTTTAATTTGTATTAGTAAGGTGAGTGATCAGTGGTGTACAGAGGTGGCACGCTGCTGAAACAATTGTGGCAGGAGTTAGTTCTCAATTGTCCTTCTTTTGGTCTTTTACTAGGTAAAAGAAACTGCATTGCTCTGTACACGGCTCAGTAGAACGCAATTTCTTTTGCAAACATCTTGTTCAGGAATATGATGAAATCATTGATACTGTGACAATTAACATTGCACAAATAAAGTGTCTTTGCCATTATTTTCATGCTATGTAAATGTTTTAGGAATACCCTATTAGTTATCATTTGCTCAAGGGGGGTGGGGGTGGGTTTTCTTTTTTTTCTTTGCTTTTGTCCTTCTGTGCATCAAAGTCCATAAGGGATCCTCTATTGGGCTTGCTGCTGACTTTGAACCACGCCTGTGCTTGAAGACTGGTGGGAAGCCACAGAATAACAGTCAATACTAAGGAGTTTTATTCTACATTTCCTGATATTACTCCTGCTAAAAATATCTTAGGCCTGAAAAAAATTCAGTAAACACAATTTTTATCATCATGGCTTTGATTGTCAAGCTCCAAAAATTCTGAAAATCAACTGGATCTACTTTATTCCAGATACAGGGACTAGAGCCGAGTAGGTCCCATCCTCATCATCTCATGCGACAAGAAAGCTGAATGCCATGGTGAATTAACCCCCCCACTTTCCTCTTCTGGCAGCTTAAAATGAGCTCATTTGGTGTACATTTAGCAAGGACACAGAACAAAACAAGCATGCAGCAAGGATTTCACTCTTCTTTGAGTGTTCATTGCACTGTGATGGCTGTTGTTTGCCAATCCGTAAGGAGGTAATTCCTTTCCAGGACAGTTCAATTCAACAGTATTTTTGCTATTAGCTTCAATGAGACTTGGGTTCCTCAGCTCCTCAAGATTTTTTCCTCTTTATATCCCTTGATTCCTCTTCTCCAGCCTGCCTTCCTGCTTTACAGCTTTTACAGAGACTGGATTTCAGTTTCACCAGCTCCTTTTCCTCTTTCTGCATAGGATGGGATTTTTTTTCCCATCCTCAAGATGGACATAAAATGTAAAGGGATCCTCATTTCCACGGTGTCATCTCAAATCTTTGACTGTTTCTGTGACCCACAATTTAGTGGATAAAAACAAAGAAATAGTTTAAGAAATAATGTACCTCAACTTCAAATGTTTCACTGTCATAGACAGCACAATACTGCACTTGCTTTTTTGTGAAGAATGTATTTATAGGCAACAGAAAAATCATCACAGACAATGAAAAAAAAGTAGAAAAAAACCAAGGCTGGGTAAACAGTTCACACTGAGATCCACAGTTGTCAATTTTAAAGAGTCACCTTGTAATTTAAATTCTAAATTTTTTCAGTTGGCTCAATACAAAATTAAGGTGTTGAAGGACACGGCCAGTAAGGATGATGTCCATGGAAACAATGGGAGTTCCACATGCACAGGCAAACCTCAAACATCCATAAACATGTTCGCTTTCCAGCTGTTTGGAACAGATTCTCAGTTCCAACCTTACTTTCAGCGAACACAAAACTGTATGCACATGTAAATCTGCATTTGCAGAGATCAGTATCTTCTCGTGTATGCACTAAACATATAATGCTTCTTTTATACATAAGCAGTATGACTTTAATTTGCAAATAATTTTCATCTGTAACATAAGCAAAAGGAATGTATAAAAACATTTTCTCCACTTGCAAGTAGATCCTTTAATTAATTTGAAAGCTTCACTTAAGAACTATAGTATTTCTAACTTTTAGTAGACGGTTCTGCTGCTGATAGTAAGAAAATCTTTTAGGAGCTGTGAATACAGAGGTTGGAGTTCAGCTTTTGAAAAAACATATTGCAGAATAGATGTTATGTTAGGCAGATCCTATATTTTTCCCATGGAAGTTCTTTCTTCCTTAAGTTTATTCAAATAATAACAGATTATGGAAAACTAAAGTAGAAAATGTTAAAAGCAACATATTGTGTAAAATTTAGCTGCTATCTAAAGCAATAAATTAACTAGGTTGGTACTTTTACAAATAGATGGTTCTGGAAGACAGGAAGTAAGGTGGTAGACAGTTCAAATATATTTCCAGGAGTTGAAGCAAATTACCTTGCTTAGATTTCATAATCAGTTACACCTAACCTACTCCTATACAATTTTTGCAAATACAGATCTAGGGTGTATTTGCATTAAAATAAAGCCACTTTGTTATTTATGCTTCATAATATGTACTCTTTGGAAAATAAAATTATATATAATACTAAAACATGTGCAAGGCATTTTCTAAAATTTTATAATTCTCATTTTTTTGGACATCTTTTATAGTAACCTAATAAATATTATTTTGAGTAAAATCAAATTTAACAGTTACTCATATGTTGTTTCACAGACTTCTATATCCATTTAATTCAGCACACAAATGCTATGGATTTGCTAAAGCAACACTTGTTTTCTTCAGGTATACAGTGTAATCAAAACCTCTGAACACTACTTTCTTCTGTTGTGTTAGCTTTCCAGCCACTGAATAATTCTTTAGGTAAAGTAGCAATGGATAAATGACCTAGTTTTACTGTACCTGAATGCCAAAGACCAAGTCAAGTGTGTATCAATACTGATTAACAGGACTTACAATTGTAAGACCAAGCTGTTGTGTATTTTATCTTCACTATGGTGTTTCCAGTATGACCACAATGCAATGAGGACCTTGTGTGGGTGCAAGAACTCAGTGACAACTCTGCAATGCACTGTCTCAAGATACTGCTAATCACAACTGAATGCAAACACAAAACAGTCCAAATAACTTCTTGGGGAACACCATCAACCATCAACCTAATTTATAATAACTCTTAATAAAAAAAAAACTTGTGGGCAAGATTTCCCACTTACCACTGTTTAAGGTCAGCTGGAGTTTGACTTCTAGTGAAGCTATGCAGATGGACATGGAGATGCGATGCGTGGTTTCCAGTATGTCACCACGCCAGTGAAAAATGAAGCGAGTACCTGTTATTTCAGGCATGCAGCACCAGAGTTTCCGGACAGATATACCTTACAGAGGTCTACACACTACAGCTGCAACTGGATCCCAGTTTTGTGATGCACCACTGCACCTTCGGCAGGAGCTCAAGGGTTTGTGCCAAGGGGCTGACATGCTCAGGGAGCCTGCCTTGAGTTCCACCTCCTTCCCCACACCCTGCTGTGGCGATGGTTAGATCACAAACCACGAGGACGCTCCTGCTGCCAGGAAAGACAATTGGCTGCTGAAGTGGTCTGTATCCATCAAATCAACCTCTCCTGCTTCCTCCAAAGGAAAAGTGCAGGCCAGATGGATGTCTCCTGTGGCACGGTCTCGTCTACGAGCTCCTGTCTGGATTATGTTGGTGGCTCCAACACAAGCCAGTCTGAACTCAGGCATGAGGACTAAAGACACCTAAAAAAAACCCCTAAACAACACAGAAAAGTAACATATTCATCTTATTCTACTATCTTAATATTTGCTTCAAAGCTAGAGTTATGAAAAAAATTATACTTGAGGCTTAGGCCTGATTAAGCTGTCAAGGGTCTAGCACTCTTCTGTGGCAAGACAGCTGGTGCTGTAGCACACAGTGGCACCTGAGGGGCTGGCTCCAAACTGCTTAAAGCTCTTGGGAAAGGAGAAGTATGGCAGTCTAACAGACAAGGAGCAAAAAGGTTCTGTTGAATAAAAGATATAGTGTTTTGTTTTTTTTTTAATGAAATGTGCTGACTATCTTTTTTCTCTTTTCTTCTTTTCTTAACGAGGATGATGGATGTAGAGTAAAGGAACGGCAAGGAGAGGTTTTCTTGCTTATTTTCGTAAGCATTGCTGAAGCTGAAAACTGGAAAAAGTTTCAGACAAACTTGCTCATCAGTAAGATCAGCAAGACTATAGGCTTACGAAAATGCAAGAGCGGAAAAGGGACTGCCGCCTCCTTGACTGTGATCCACAGCAGGACTCTGCCGACCACAGCATGGCTACAGTGCAGGAGAACAGCAGGCAGGTAAGAAAACTTGTATTTGTGCATGCCCCAACAAATGTATGACTCATAATATTAATTTCCTTCACCTATTTGGATGTTACTTCCTTTGTAGCAAATGCATCTCACGCCTGAGGTGAATGCTTTTGTTGGTACAGATTTTCTTCATCAGCTCTCTCTGGAAATTGGCAGGCTGAGAGACATTTTCGTTATCACAGCTCATGAAGCACCCAGAAATCAGATCTTTAAAGCAATCAATTGTAATTATGTAAAATCTTAGGCTGCATCCAGCTGTCCCACTTTGTTCATGCTACTGTGACGGCATGATTTCAGTGGAGCAGATTCCGACTCTTATCAACAGAAATAAAATCAGAATTGGCCCCAAAGCTACGTTTCAGGGAACACAAGAAACTACACAAGAAAGATAATGTATTTGAGAACATTTTTAATAAATAATGTGACAAAAATTACTTTTCTGATTATTGGATCCTCAGTATGCAAAATTATGGCTAAAATATGAGGTTTCTTACATGAACATAATGAAAACATTAATCACATGGATTGTTCCTTTAGTACTGCACACCCTTTCTATGGAACCTTTCTTTGAAAATTAGCTAAATGAAAAATTTCAGTCCTCAGTAAACACCAAAACACTTCTTTTTTTTTTTTTCTTCTTTTTTTTTTTTTTTTTTTTCATTGGGGCTAGTCCTGATAGCTGTCAATAAACAAACACACATTTTTCCATTAGCACCAATGACAAAGAAATTTTATAATTACAAAAAAGATCAGACAGAGGACATCATTTGGCAATTTAATGCAACTAATGCCTCTATTTCAGCTTTAATGATAATCCAATGTTGAGAGAGGCCACAGCAAAACTGGAAAATTTCTGTAAATCCAGGAAAAGTGAGTAGTATTTTGATTATGGCCCACATTTACATTTGTTACTTTACCATCTGTCATCATTCAAATAATCCAAATACAAACATAGAGCATTAACAAAAAGATGAAAAATATCCCAAACAAATGCTTAACATTTTCAATAAGACAAAAAAAAAAAGGTTAATAGTTACAATGGTTTACAAACAAAGTTTAGTGATTGTGCTTTTAAAACCAAAAAAAAAAAAAAAGATAAGCAGTGCATTACAAAAAAATTAATCGCCAAGATCAAACAAAACTTCTTTAAGTGGCACTTCTTCTTTAAGGTGAATTGATACAAGTAGAGGTCTGAGATTTGGGCCAGTAACAGCTAATGATATTACCCAATCGTTATTAAAAATGTCCATTGATTTTTTTGCTTATTTTCATAAGCATTGCTGACGCTGAAAATTAGAAAAAGTTTCAGACAAACTTGCTCATGCCATGATTAGGCAAATAGCAATCATATTGGCTTACCTCCTGCCTATCCCAAGGGACATTTTTAATAAGAATGTACTTAATGATGAAAATGGAAAGACAAATCAAAGTACCACAGGGGATTTAACATGAGTACATATTTACAATAAGAGCCACCTCATCCCAAATTAATTTTACTTGTATTTGTAAAACTGTATCTCATCTGCAAAAGGTTAGCAAGAGACTAGCAGAAAACAAGACACAGAGTCTCTGCTGAAATGGCAAGATACCATTTGCACAAACTGCAGACTACAGCGAAACCCCTAGAATAAAAGAATGTTCTGCATGATGTCTACTTTGGGGAACTTTTTAATCAATGCTGTATTACTTGCAATGTTATCGATTGGCTCACCGGTGTACCAGCAGTGTACTGAGCACTGCTTTGCAGGGGAGAAACCTCAGGATCACAGGCTCTGGAATCCCCTTCTGTTTAATCCTGAAGCAGCAGCTGGCCCAAGTACCATGAAGAGCAGCTTACCTGCCTTCTTGGGCAGCAAAGGTGATGCACTTAGCATTGTGGAATAGGCAAGGACCGTTCCTAATAAGGAGGGTTTACAAAGAAAGAGTAAAATAAAAACTAGTGTTCTGATGGCATAAAGAAAAATGAAAAGTTGTACACTCTGATTGCACTGAACATTATTTCTGGCGACAAACATCATCAGACTTGAGGCATCTTGAGTGATTTTTTTTTTTTCTGATTAGATATTAAAAGCCTGTTACAGTACATGTTGTTGTCTTCAGCTTTCTGTTTCCTGTATTAAGAAGAAACATAAATTACTACGTGTTACATTTTATTATTTAAAGTTTGTTTCACATACTTTGTAGAGATTTGTTATCTTTAAATAATAATTACTACTTTAATTATATGCAGCAACATGTCTGCCTGTTGGACACCCTTTCTACAACCACGATTTAAATTGAATTAATAATATTAGTCAGAAAAAAAAATAAGAAAAAAGTTCATGCCTTAGTATCTAAATAAAATCTAGATTTATAAACTTTCTAAAAATGTGAAAGGCAATGTGAAGGCATGCTTGGATGCTCTAACACTTTATTTTCACTTTTGAAAGAATCTGGTAATGTAAAGTCCAGACTTAAACAGTGTATTTATGTAAGTTCTGTTCCATAGGATTTGTGTGGTGACAGTTATACTATGCTACATATTACTTGTCTTTTATGTTTTTGACACATTCTTAAAGTTTCTTTTCTTGGATTGGGCATAACATTAATAGACAGATAAATGCACTATTTTTTCTGAAAATAAACATTTCTAGTTCAAAATTATTTTTCTTGGCATCTCTCTAAGCACAGAAAATAGCCTTATTTTAATCATCTTCAGTAGCACAACTACAGTTACCTCCATCTCTTCTTCTTCCTCTTCTCCTTGTTCATATGCTCCCAGTACTTGCATTTCTGCAACATTCCTTCGGGCTATATTTGCCTGATCTGCCCTCTGTCTACCTCCTGATCCTCTTGATGACATAGAGCTGGAGGAGCTGGGATCTCTAGGATTATTTGATGTTGGAAACGTTGGTCTAGAATATGGCAGGATGTCCTCTGTATAATTAAATATATACATCGTTATGTTTACAAGTCCAGAGATACTGAGATCCTAAATTTCTGCATGAGTTGATTTATTTTACTTTTTATGATCCTCAGTAGGTTTAAAGTGATGCCTGACAGGAATATGAAATACACTGTTTCCATAATAGCATTATAGAAGCTTTCTCAAGGAAATTTATACTATTCATGTCGTAACATCCATGACAGAAAAGCTAATTCATTATTATTGTCCACTTCATTCCAATTTATGATCACTGCTCTATGTTCTGCAGGAAAATGAAGAAAAAAAAATAACCCTTGTATATTTTTGACATGACTAAGCAGGAGGAAATGACAATACACGCATGATACTCGCAAGGAGTTCACTACATCTAAATACTACACCCTGTATTTCTCAAATTGAGTTTGAAAAAAAATTAGTAGGCATGTTTTAAAATTTCAGCACCATCCTCTTCAGGTAAACTTCTAGTAACTTCTCTCTACAGTAAACCACTGTAATCAGTACCATTCTCTTACTAATGTGCCCACTTAGCCAACTTACTGCCCAGTCACCCCTGATATTGACCCTGGATGCCCATAGGAAGAAAGGATTAGGCATTTGTATGAACCTGTGTTGAAAGCCTTAGTGAACACTTGGCAAATCCATTAATCATGTTCCATTAATTAGTGATCTTACCAACTTCCATATGCAAGGGATTACATTCATCAGGTCTGATTCCCATAATGCCATGTCAGTTGATATTTGTAACTAATGCATTCTACTATGGCTTTCTTATTTTATAAACAGGAACAGGTTTACAAATAGACAAAAACAGGCCAAGTGCCAATTCTTTGGTAGAAAAATTAGATCTATTATCTGACTTCACTCAATTTCCTTGTAAATTAGATTATAATTAGATAGATAAGACATAACTAGACTATAAATGTACAGTAGGGGCAAAGACACTAATCCTTACAGTTCTTGAGGAATGTTTCTGTTTGGGCTTCCTCAACCTTAGCTTTAATACATGATAGGTGTATAAGGAAAGCAAGACAGAAAAATCCATGTTTTTCATAAGTTTCTGTTTCTATTTTACCCTAATGAGAACCTGCAATGTGACCTCTATTAGCACCTATAATTACAATAAATGGTAACAATTCAGCAGACCTAACTTTACTCACACCAGCTGTATATGAGACCTGGAAAGAGTTGGTCTGTTCCCTGTGATCAACACCCAATACTTCATTAAGCCCAAAGCATGCAAAATAACCTTGAAGAAGATGAGTTTTTGCTGGTGTGCCTTCTCGTTTTGGTGCTTTATTTCCTCGTAGTTTCCCATCGTTTTGCTGTTCCTGTGATTCTCTTCGCTCTCCTGAATTTGTCCGCACGTCTGAATGCTGTCTCCCATCCACCCCGTCCCTCCCCTTGTAGCTCGCTCCTTTCCTTTCTGCAGATCTGTCTGTCCTTGCTTCTATAGAAGCAAGTTTTGGCAACATGACTGGCCGCACCTCTAGCTGTGATTTGGACTGGGCAGTTGGTGATTTTATAGCTGGAGGTGGCACAGGAGGGGGTGGCAAGTCTACAAAGTTGAAAAAGAATAATGATTAAAATGCCATCATACACTATTAAAATTAAGAAATAATATTTAACTTGAACTGAAGAAACAGATGCCCTGCTTGCTTTCAGACCTCCCCCTGCCCTTCTCTCTCCACCCCAAAAAGTATTATGTTACTGTTACAACCGCTGATGGGTATTTTTCCAAAGCTTGAGCTTCGAAAATGCAAAGACCTCTCACTGCCTTTTGAAATCACAATATTTTCTTAACAATAATTACAAAAAGCTGTAATAAACTTTACGCACTTAGATATTGACAGATCAGTTATGTATATCAACACAGAGTTAAATATATCAACATATTTTTGTTGATATTTATCATTTTTGCTGAGTCCATTCAACAACACAGGAGCTTGTGTTCTAGTTGTTCAAGGTCTTCAGTGTGCCAAGCATTAAAGCAAGTTGGCTGGCATGTTAGAATGTATATCAGATGCAGTGCTGATATATGTAAGCTTATACTGCTTTAATTATTGCACTCTTCCTTCAAAATGATAGCTTAATCTAACTTATGTGTCCCTGACATCTGTGGATATGATGTGAGATATAAAAAAACCCCACACTCAATCAACAAAGTAACGAGCTCTCAGGAAGAAGAAAAAAAGAAAAGACACAGAAGACCTTTGAATATTTCTCGTTAAATTAGCACAGCTTAAGGTGTTCTAAATTTCTGTATATTTTTAACTAGTATTTATAAAGCACACTTTTTTTTTACTTAGCTAATTTTTTCTATTCCTGCATTACGACTTAAAACTAGAATGGGTAAACTGTTCATCAGGATAGAATAGTGCCCTGTGGAATACAAAATGTGAAGGAAAAAAATGTAAAAGTCAAACAAGGAAGTGACAATACAAAAGTGGCTCATAACGAAGTTGTAGGGACAAATCACATGCGTAGAAGAGAACAGGCTAAAAAAAGTGAGAGGTGTGAAAGATGTTCCTGGGGTTAATATTCTCAAGTGAGACTGCTAAAAAAATAATTAACAGCACTACTAAAAAATGTAACTTCAGCATTTTGTAATAGTGTGCATTCATTCTTTCTGCTTCCATAAAAATCTTGAAGCAGCTGTGTTTTTCAAACACCATCGCTATATAGCTAATTCACAGTCTATTCAAGAGAACATTTCAACTGGAAATTAACTAAATTGGCCCAAGAATAAAGGTAGTACTTCTGCATAAGAAAAAACAGGAATCTAACATATATGTATAAATTTGGATATGGCAGATGCCAGACATTTTTGAGAGGTTTTCCAGTGACAGAAAGCACAAATTACTTGACCTTGCCATCTGGAAACGTGTAGCAATGCAGAATTCAGTGCTCAGTGCAAGCTTACTGGGCACTATCCTCCATGTTAAACTGGTGACACAATTTGGAATTGTCCTTGAACCTTTAAAAATAAGACTGTAAATTTTATCAGTTGTCTGGACTGAGATGATGAGGAAGAAAGATGTCATAAAGTTAATTTCCTAAGGCTGGACATACTTCAGGTAAATGAGATCTGTAACATCATTCTTGCTGCATTAACTCCACTGTCTTAGTAAAAAACAAAACAAAACAAACACCAAAACAAAAAAACCCAAAGGAAGAAAACCACAAAAAAACAACCAGGCAAACAAGCAAACTTATCCCTGTTCTAATTTATGGCTTGAATAAGGGACCAAATCCACTTAACAACAGAAACATTTTTCCTTCTTTTCCTCTTAGACAAGAACAAGTTCGACAACTGCACTTATATTCCTCAAAATCATGCAGGGTAGCTTGTTTTTCAACGTCTGGTAGTTTGGGGAACATCACTTAGAGAGTAGCTAAAGGTAAACAATTGAACACTGATGTTTTATTTTAAGTATCTACTTAACACTCACCATTTGTAAACATCTTTTAAGAAAAAGTACTGTCATCTCCGAAACTTGAGAAGGCATAATGTAAATTAGCTGGAAGCCTGGATATACTAAGTGACTGAATCAAATTAATTTTATTTCTGTACTGGGCATTATTAGACTACAAAGTAAGAACTAAGGCAGATCTGTGGGCAAGGGACTAGACTTGTTCAGCTGAGGGAACTCAAAGTGTAAAACAGAAGTCAACTTCTGATTCAATAAGACATGAAACACAAGAGATTTTGGTAAGACAGTACAGAATCAGTTACATTGCATTCCTTTGTTATCCATAATGCTTTAGACATGGTTTACAGAGGCAACCTCTGCCCAATACACAGTGTTAGCAATGACACTCCATAATTCCAGACATCAGAGTAGCACTCAGACTACCTCCTGTATGCATCCAAAAATGCCCTGTGAGATTAGCCAGCCAAGAGTGAACCAAAGCTCTTTCACTGTGCTGTCCAGCCCTGTAGATGCTTAAATCCAACATGTACCTGCAAATTTGGATATCTGGATCACAAGGCTCCATAGCCATGTGAGCTTAACTTGTCAATATCTGCTTCAAAAATGTTGGTCTGAAGAAGTATATAACCTCTAACAATTCAACAACTAAGTGAAAAATCATGTGAAGTCTGCCCAAGACTTCAGAATTGCATGTGATAGGTTCCATGAAAGGCCAAAGCTTATCAAGCACAGGAATTGTTCTTCAAAAGCAAGGCTGAAGATGGTGATGGTTCACACCTTTTGCTGAATACTTTTAGTGACTATAGTACTTGGTCAAGTTCTTAAAAATAACATAAACTCTGCACTAGCCTGTGGAGATTCAAACAATATTTTCCTTTCTGAGGAAAACATCCTTCTTACAACATGTCTTCTCTCAGAAAAGGACATACTGAAACAGAGGTGGATGAAGATACTCAAACTCAGAAGTGTAGGCTTCTGGAACCACAGTTCATGCAATATCTTGTGTATCATATTCCCCACTCATTGTCTCTATGAAGTTATTAGAGCACCGAATAGCCCTTCTGTTGAGCCTGCTGATGTAAAGGGAGTGTAGGTACTTAACATCAGTTTTTTCAGTCACCCTTGGAGCCAGTCTCCAACAGCTGTGGCATGTCAATTCACTGGCTGAATACCAAAGGCAAGGAACCAGCATCTTTCCTGTAGCCTATAAAATACAACTTGGAACAAACTACTTAATTCAAGAATCTTATCCAGCTACACAGGACAATGAAAAAAGTGGTGTTAAGTCTTGACTATGGCAAAGAAAGATGCACTGATACAGAAAGTTTAATAAAACGACAGTAGCTCTATTTAGTTATTGTAATAACTAAAGAAAAGTGATATTCTCTTTTGAGAACATTTTTGCAACCTGCAGGGAAACTATAAAAATCTTCATTATAACACAGTACTCCTCGCTGAGAAGAGTCTTTTACAGAGGAAAAAAAAAACAACTTTTCAGAGGCCAACACTATTACACCCCTGTGGTATTTATTTTAACAGCTCAGATCACAGAGAAAATCCAGATTCAGTCTGCCTCCTTGAGTACAAACTGGCACACTTTTTATTAAAAGGAAAATGGAAGCTTCCATTGTAAGGAATAAAAACTAAATCACAAAGCAACATCAAACCAATATAAAGAACTCAGAAGTATTTGTTAAAGGTCAGCTATGCTCGTGTTTCATTCATGTCTATATATTACTGTTGTACTGCTTTCCATGTAGCTAAAACAACTAATGGATGCCCTATCATAGCATGGTCTACAGGGGAAACCTCCCATATATGTCTTTTGAAAGGAGCAATGATAATTTTCTAAATGAGAGCATACAGAGGAATCATGAAATAAGCAAAACACCAGTGGGGAAAAATAATCTGCTAAATTAGTTTGGCACCGAAGTGGAAAAACCACAAATAAGCAGAAAAAGATTCCTTGTAAGTAGTGACAAATGAGGGAAGCAGGCCTTATTAGCCAACTCTCTCTTTCAAGCTCTATTGGGCTGTAGATTTCTACAGTCATACCCCGAAGAAAAAAACTGAGTTATAGAGTTGATGCAATATTGGAGAAGATACAGAGTGATTTTTTTTCTATTGCATATTTATGAAGGCATGCAAAACTCAATATTGTTCCTGACTTAGTAAAGCTTTAAGATAGTTTAAGATTCCTAGATACATAATAACCTCAGCTTCATGTACTGAAGTTATATTCATACTTTATCTTTCAAGAAATATGGCTCAAACTGTAGACAATAATTGGATGAATAATTAGATACAGCAAAATGCAATATGATGTATAAAAGCAGTGGGTTGTTGGGTTGTAGGTTTTTCTGCCTGTAGGTACATTTACATAATGCTTTTATCAAGACAATTTTCACTCCACAAAACCTCCCTCAGTAACAAAATCTACATTTACAAATTATCTCACAATGGAATCAGAAGTAAGGACTGCAAAGAGAGCAGGTATCTGAAAATTAACATTCAATAACACACTGGTTTTTAGCAGAGGTAAGACATGCATTCCCACTTATTTTTTACTGTGCTGAAATTTGTGCAGAGTAGATTTTTTTTTTTTTTTTTTGTACTGCACAGGAAGAGGGAGACAAAAGTACAAACGATGCCAGCACGCATAATGGCTTAACCCTTCAAAGTGAAAATCCAAGGAAATATTTGGCTGGTATTCAATTGTCTTTTCTGAGAAATTCAGCTGCCCTAATGTCATGTCATCGATAACACAGCTCAATAACTCATTTACAGTCTCAACCAGTTTGTTGTGTAAATGTTAGTATTTTTTTCTTTGTCTCTCAGAGGTTTAAAAAAGAAGCAAGATTTAAAATCTTGTGTGAACTGTCAATGGCGCAACTTCTATTGAAAGACCTACTGAATCGAAGCAAAGTACTTTTATCTTTTTATCTCAATGCTTACAACTCTGAGGGCTTGAAACTACCAATAGATCAATTCAAGACAGTTCAGAAGAGACTTCCATATAGACAATCTCAGAAAAGAAAAAAACCATTATTTTAAAATTTGCTTTCCTAAATTAAATATGTAAGTAGGTCAGGCAAGGTTGAGAGGGAGGATGCATCTGTTAGCTGGTTCTTGTAATGCACTTTTTTCTAGTAGTTAACTCTCTAAAAGGCTAGATGAAGAGCAATTAAAAATTCATACATTTTAATCCTTACCACCTACTGAGCAAAGATTTTTAGCAACAAATATGAAGAACATTTCACTGCCTGGATGACTGTCAAAGAACAAAATAACTGAGATGAAATCCCACTGCACCTACAGTAGAAACTGATTTGAACTAATACTATCAGAAAATACAAAATTGTTACTACTTATACAATGCAGAGTAGATCAGAGAACATTCTCCTTTATTTCAAAAAGGGTAGTAGTAGACCTTTTACTGCTACGTTAGTAAAAAGCACACTTTCAGAAATACCAATCTCTTTCCAAATCTTGCTGTATAAAGAAAAAAAACCTATAGAATTATTTTAAGACTTACATATATTGCTGCTGATAATTCTCTTGGCATTTTCAACCATTCATGAAAAGACTTAATTTATTTTTATATCCTTTCTGTCAACCAATCATGTAAATTCTTCATGACACTGGTATTTCATAAAACTGCTAGCAAATACTAATCCAAGTAATTTGGGAAGAGTAGAAAATTACTCATATGTGAAAGTAAATTCCATTTTAAAGGCTGAAAAAGTAATGAAGCAATGTATTTTTCTCTTTTTTAATATTTATTCAATACTTCTAGCCACCAATAAATGCTTAAATTCAGAATATCTGCTTTGCTCTACTACAAACATGTGTATGTTCACTCATGATGAGGAAAAAAAAAATCTTTGTATCAGGCATTATAAAATTATTTATAAAAAATATGAGTAACAGTGTGACATCAAGCCAACAGAAAAACCTAAGTATATCTGGGAACGGTCAGCTGTGCTTAAATGTTTCAGGAAAACAATTAGTATTTTATAGATAATTCTAAAGGGACAATGTACTAGATGTAGCTATTAAAACGAATGGTTAGAATCTTCAGTAAGGTTCCAAATTTGCTTATGCAAAGGGATTGAGGGGAAAAAAAAAATGAAAAAAAATCAAAACCAAAGAAGCCCTTCCACCTTTGAACTGGGTTTTATTAGCTCTGCAGAAATTAAAGCCATAATTTGCTGTTCCCTGAATGACCACACTGTATTGCACACTAAACGGGTTAGTGGAAATTCTTAGCTAATTAGAAAATATGCTGAAGTAAGCAGGTGCTATATAACACAACAAAAATATTGATCATGATTGTCAAATCTATTGCAGTGTCTAACCACAATGCTCTATGATTTAACTTTGTATAATTACTTTCACAAAAACCTGTCATGAAATACAGGCCCACCTCTTATTTATTTCTGTGTTAGAAGAAAATGGCCACATAAAACTCCTGTTCAGATTTTATTTCTGATGTCCTAGCTGTTATGTTTGTATTGAGGTTTGGTGCTCAGCCAATTATTCAGTTAAAAGCATTCTCTTCAAGAGAACAAAAGCTGATAAAACATCCACAAAATCCTGCAAAATGCCATTACAAGGGTCTCATAAATGTAACATTTCTGGTTCAGTTTTAGGATTTACACCTTGTGTTGTCCTTTCACAGAAGCAAACATGCACAAAACCACTGTAATAACCTCTTGAAATCAGATAATATTCCAACAGCTCAGTTTCACTGACAGAAGGGACCTGGGCATAAGCCAAGAGGCCCAGGTGCACTGTGTCATGCCAGTATTTAATGCAGCCTAATATCAGATAGATGCTAGTGAGAGAAAATACTCAGAATAAAGTACAGATAATAGCACGGACAACCACTCATTGCTAAATTACTTCTGCTCATCGTGCTGTGAGCTTTGTATTAAATTTTTTCGTCAAGTGGCAGGAATCATAGGGAGAAGTGGCTCAAAACTCCCTTCATGTAACCCTGGATAAGGATCTATAATATTAGGCTTTCATATGATAATGGCAAATGATGCCCCTCTTTGAAAAATTTCAGACTGGTAATGAAAGTCCTAATCAGATTGTTGTTGTGGAGAACCAGGAGGTGGGGAAAGATTCCTTTTCTTCTCCTCCCCCCATTAGCAAATTTAACAAACTTGACAACATGGGTTAAGTCTTGGAGAATTTATCTTACATGAATTTCCAACAAAGCCTGTGGGCTGTTTTATAAAACTGGAAGGTAGTGCTTTAATAAAAGCTGCACCACCTGAGGCATTTTCATTAAAGGCTCTCTCTAGACAACATCACAATGTTTGCATTATCTTGCTACACTCCCAAGAGAATACAAGCACTACTGTTTCAGCAAGAGTTGCTATTGTGTGTGAAGGCATGAGAAAAGATGATTAGGTTTTGCTTTTACTCCAAGAAGTAACCACTTGCAACAATGCTGTGGCCAGGATTAAAATTCATTGATTTCTGTTGCCCACCATTTGAATGGTAAATTGTTTTTTTCAGGAAAAGATACATTCTGAAGGTTTTAATAATCAGTCATGTGGTTTTAATCCTAACCACACATTATTCTCAATGACTGTACTATTTATGCTATCTGGGCTCTTAAATAATGACAGTAATTAGCCGATTAGGACACTACAGAAAACAGGTGCAAGGCTCTGAAGTGGAAGCTTCAATGTACAGTATTAAGGAACTCTGGCATTTAAAATGATTCATCTGTTCAATGTGTTCAGCAACAGGAAACACAAATCACTGTATTCTGAAACACAATGTTATCTCTGTGGAAAAATTTCACACACATTCACTGAATGCATATTTAGAAAGGTTCACTGACGTTTTCACCCGTTTCAGTGGACTCACCATCTGTGTAGACTTCTCTGCGCAGATGTCCTGGCTGGTGTTTTTGCTTTTTGGCAGGTCGGACCTTCTGTATTACAACAGCACTCATGTTGCTGTCGGTAGACACAGGGCTGGTGGGTCTAGGACAGTGTGATGCATGAAAATGTCTTCGGCCTGGAAATTGTTACAGAACAATACCTATGATTTTTATCATCTAAAGTAAGATGCTTCGTACTTTCTCTTTTTTCACATCAGAATGACCTAGATATACAAAACCTGAAAATGCACCGTTGAAACAATAATAAAAGTCTCATCCTTCCTGTAATGAGTTTTAGGGTGAGTTGTAACTGAATCGAAGCATTTTCTATCCGATCACTAGGCAGGTTGGCCTAGTTTCACAGAAATTACCCAACTGGTTGATAGCTGGTAGCTCTAGGAAGCTGGACACCGTCAGCAGTCAAGCACAGGCAGGCTTCTCGCCTTCCAGAAACAACAAAACATTTCACTTTTAAAAGGGGTTTCACCTCCCCTAGCTCAGGCAGCACGAGGTCACCCATGCCGTAAGCACAGCAAGTCACTAGGTCACTAGCAGGTCTCAGGTACAGATACCGCCTCCACCACTTTGAGTGAATTACCAGGAATGCATCGGGAATGTATGACTGGCATTTCAGCACAGATTATTTGCAGATAAGAAGTGTCACATTTTTAGGACGTGCAGTGAGGTACCGGTAATATAAATACATACAAATCACTAAATAACATGAACTTGACTATTGTAAATTCATTTACCTGTAATAGTAATGGGATGTAAAAAGACCTTTTCTAAATACATAAATTCACCCACAAAGAGACACACATATTTATATGAACATATATACTTGTAAAATGGATAAAATCCTGGCCCTTTGGGTATGAATGGGAGCTCTGCCACCTCCTTCAATTGGCCAGGATTTCATCCAGAATTACTAAATTATCTCCTCTCTCACTCTTCATGATGAATAGCTGTATTGAAATGAAACAAAGGATTGTTAACAGGGAGAGGATATAGAAATGGAAGGAAGATTGAAAATCTGCAGAGTCAGGGTGGACACAGTTGTGACAGAGTTCCTCTTCTCCAGGTTTGGTAGTTTAATAGGATCAATTGGTGTAACAATCATGGATCTGCTTGAAACCTGCATCCCACCCTTCGGTATTTTTGGTTCTTAGCTGAACTATAACAATATCCACTGGGCCTGGTCAGGTTACTGATCACCCATGTATACTCAATGTTACTAGTAACCAGTATGTTGTAAAACACTATTTCAAATATCATATTTAATATGTCCCATGGTTATTCAGGAGAGAAAAACCAAGTAAGACACATATGCATATAGCCTTGCTGCATATTCATAATCTATGATCTAAACTGCAACTAATAATACTTGTCAAATTATGAAACCAACACAATTCCAGTTCATCTCAATAACGCAGCAGTAAAAGCTTGAACAGTATTCTCCAAAAGATAACAACAAAATTGAAAAGGAAAACAAATATATTACAATTTTTTTCAAATCCAGGGCAAATATGACTCTAAAGGTTTACTATTTGTTTGGACATTTCAATACAGAAGGATTAAATCTCTCATGAAGAGTGACTGAAAACACTGTGAGTCATACTAGGAAAAAGACACAATTCTGTAATAATTTTTTTTTTTCTCATTCAGTTTTGGGTGGAAATCCACCAATAGGGTTGAGGTTTGGGAATAATGAGACCAAAAACTGAGGAACATCTTATGAAAAACAATGTAAAGCAGAAATTTATTTGAACTATTTCACCAAAACTCCTTTTCTGACTCTTCCACTACTGTAAATTGACTCCCCCTCCTGAATTCCTAAATGTTGTAAGAACAACAGGAATCCGGGAAGTGGTTGTGCATAAATACATTTCATAATGGCCATTTTTTTTCTTCTCTCATCAAACAGAGGACAAACTCACCTCCTGCTGCATCCTGCATTTGACGTCTGGCTACTTTCAGGCCAGCGTATTCCGCAGCTGCTGCAACAGCCTGTGCAAAATCTGCATCAGTGAAAAATGATCCATCTGAAGAGCTAACGCTAGACCGCCCACTTGAGATGTTATCTTCTTCAGAGGCTGAACCCCAGCCGTTGATCATGGACCCTGTTACAGAGCTCTCCAAATCCCCAATGCTGGAGGCAGGTGTCTGCTCAAGGCCACGCAAAAGGAGCCTTCTGTTCTGCATCTTGGCAACCTCTATATCTGCCTCATCCTCTTCCTCTTCTGGTGCGTCAGTATCCATATCAGAGACCAAGGGCCCTGAGATATATCCATAGGTGTGTGGAGGGGAGATAGGCCTTGGAGGGGGTGGAGGACTCACAGGTTGACGTCTGCATAAAAATACAAGGGTAAGAAGAACTGAAGGCATATAACATAGTCAGAGGAAACAGCAGATTGATGAAAATGTTTATTCCCCAAGAAGCTTGACTTGCCTTTTTAAATCAATGGAATTTATATCTGAAAGGTTCAGGGTTGGTAGTCTTTTTTTAGTTTTTATGCTTGCTGTAAATCAGAACTGACTGACAGCAATGTAGTTTGAAATTTACCACAAAGAGTTCTGATTTTTTAATACGGTTCCTTTATCACTGATTTTAATTAAAACTGGCTTATTTTGCATAAAGCTGTTCCTTTTTCCTAAAGTAGCACATGTACAGCTAGGTGAAGTGTTGGTTACAGTTCATGGGACTATTTAAAAAAATTGCTTGTTCACACTTGAGAGTATGAGCAAAACGAGTGTCTGCATATTGCTCTCGAAGCCTGAAACTATCAGTGTCAACAGATGCCTCTCTCCAAACAGAGAGCTCCATAAACATAGTCCCTCCACCAACCCCAGTGATTCAGAAAGGTATGAAAAGAGGTACTGTTATTTCATTATTTTTTGAATTGGTCTAGGTGACAAAGAAAGAATTCTTTACTGTAACATTTGTTCTAGGTCTTAAGGATAACAAAATGCATATAGATCTATGGGTTAACTTATTTTGAGCTTAAACCAACAGTAATGGTGTCTCCAGCTTAAAGAAGCAAAGTTGGATATCATTACATCAACGTTCAGTTTAGTTAACACTTCACTCAGAAGTCCCAGGTAGTAACATTGTGAACAGTTTTTGTCCACAAGGCTACAGGCAAGCTCTTTAATTGCCATTTGTCTGATAGGAGGAAATACTTTCTGCAGCAATGGCTGTACCATTGGCTTTGCTTACTGGGAATTTCTACTGCAGCCTGCTTTGCAAAAATTTCCAAAGCAATTTTCCTTTGTCAATTTTTCTTTATTTTTTTCTTATTATCTCATTGACAAATGGTGACTTTCACAAACTAAATCTTTTTGGTGGGGGTGAATGCGACTTTTTAATTTTAATAAATGGGAATATTTGCTAACTTTGAAAGGAAAATTTAGCAAGAAAAAACTAATACTTTGTGGCAAGAGCAAACTGGAACCTCCCTGGACTGCATCATCTAGCCACTGTTTTCCACTTGCTCTGTTAGGTACTGAATGTAATGAAGAAAAGGTCAGTTAGGGATATATACCCAGTAATAATTTAATAACCCCCCTGCCCCTCAAATCCCTGAAGCCACTGCTGCATGGGAATCTCTACCTGCCTTTGACTAGAGACCTTGCCCAATAAAGTTTTATGGCCTTAATTTAAAGCTCTTGTGACAAGTGTCCTTGTAACATATTTGCCAGTCTTCATAGTCTCTAAGTTCTCTAAGGTATCAGCAGACAGGCAACTGGTTACAAAATACACTAGGGTTCTTGAAAATACAGCTGTCCTGCCAACCTTTAAGAATAAGCTAATTGAGAGCAGCTGGTTCATGGGTATACAGAATCAACAATACTTCATTCACTTTATCTGATGTAGTGGTTCTTGCTTTAGCAGTAACAATATCTCCTATCTTAGCTCTCATTTGAACATTCACACCATCTGCTATCTCACTAAATCTTTATTTTTTTCTCTGCTTGTCCACTCTTCCAGATTTCTATTTCAGTTTGCTATAGTTCTAGATAGAAATACTACAGTACACCATCACCACAAAAATAATATTCTAGATGCCTGATTCTGATCAGAAATTGAGATAATATTCAGCAGAACGACAAGTAAAGCTAATAAAAAGTATGAAAACCAGTACTTTAGACATTATTTTCACTTTAAACCCACCATTTACAAAACCCTCAAAAACAATACAGAGAGGCACCACTCAGAATTGCGTTCTTAATTGGAAAGTACTGTCACACCATATTCAAAATAGAAACCTCCCTTCCAGAATAGGCTACAGCTGTTGAGCACAGTACCGCCAACTCCTAAGCAGCAATGCCATGAGTCATGTCAACGCTGTTAGACAGAAAAGCGAGTCAGCCAAGCCGTACAAATCAAGCAGATAGATAGAATTATGAGACTCTTTTTTAAGTGATGAGCAAAAAGAAAAGAAACAATGTTTGAAAAAGTAAAGACAAAAAAGACAAATTTAGTCACTAACAATTCTACGACTTCCAGCAAAGCTAGACTTAACCATTGTAGGAAGAACAAAATAAATATGCATTTTATTTTTACAGTCCAATCAATCAGTAAGCTGTATGCCCTACGAGATTAAATTGGAACATCCTTTCAGGTACTTCTGCCACTACTTTTGATCACATTTATGGTGACTAGCCATGAGTCTTGAGCAAACATTCTCCTTTCCAGGCCTTTGCTGGTCGGTAATGCATGTTTCGATATATTTGCTCCAATGCCTACTCCATTCTGCATGTCAGTACACATCTCCCACTCTCCAGAACACGGCAGCTGAGGTTCTGGAAAATCACTCACAACATATCACTCACTTAGCATTTCCCTTTTCCATTAGTGTCCAGCTAGTTTAACCTCTGAATAACCCAGAAAACTTAAGTGATTAAAATGAACACTTCTGTGCCCTGACATATCAGGGCCAATGGAAATGACAGGAAAATATTATTAGCCACCCACTAATTAAAAGAATGACTGTAAAGACTCAGGAAGATATAAAAAGAGGAAAAGATACACAGTACAAGAAGTGTTACCATAAAGAATAAAGAAAACAAAACAAAGTAGACCAAATAGCAAAGGAGAGCAAAAGCAAAAGCAGATACAGGCCTTAAAAAAAAAATATAATAACTATTGCTTACTTTAAAAAGGGAAGCATAAAATGAACTTTTCAGAAAACATTACTGAAAATACATCCACAAATGTCCAGCGAGCTACATTAATAAAATCAAACTACTACAGTCTACTCAGCAAGATCAAATTCATTTCATCATAACAGGCCTGCATTTCACTAAAAAATAAAAAGTATGACTAGAATATTGCAGGTAAGTTTGTATATTTGTGGTAATAAACAATATGTGCAAACCACTGGAGGAATAAAAAACACTAGAAGAAAAATAATTTGGGATGGAAAAGCTGTGCCTTTTTTATAAAAAGCAAGATAAGAAAGCATCATACGTAAAAAGCCTCACTCAGAATTCACTGTTTTATGGAAGAGAAGCTGTGGGAGAGTACATGCAGAACAATTTGTACTAAAAGCAACTCAGAGAAGCAACAAAATTTCCCTGTAACAAATATTTATCTTTATTAATGTTGGTCATTCCTTTAAATAGGGTAGGTGGAAATGTTAAGAAAATTTTGCAAGCAATAATTTCCTGCAGTAGGATTTATGAGAGGAAGAAAATCTATAGGTTATATAAATTATATATTTTTATATATTCATACATATTGGTGACAAGTTAATTGCACAGTTACTGTGAAATAATGCATGCTATTTTATGGTAATAATGCAGTAAATCTATTGGAAACAATGGAACTGTAATTATATGGTAAGCTGTGTTAACGATACCACTTTAATATCCCGATGACTGTGAATTTAACTTGTGTCAGCATCATATGTACCTAAGTGATATACTGCATTTCTTTCCACGGTGTAATAATAAAGCAATGCAATTACATATTTCTTAGGTTACAAATAGTTCTAGCATCCTGGATTAGAAGTTAAATATTAACAAAATAAATATAATGGGGAAAATCTTGGCCTCACTGAATTCAACAGGAATTTTCAGTGGGGGCAGCATAACTTTTGTCACAGCTCTTTCGCTATATTTGCATTTACACACCTCCGTTCAGATTGGTGTTGTATATGTCCCAGATCCTCCTGACAGTCCTGTAACATGGGCTGGAGCTCTTCCTGGGGAGAGGGGGTGAGAGTGGCAGTTGACTGATGGCTATAGGAGACAGCAGCTGGAGAGGAAGCTGCTCCTCGGACAGGTGGAGTAGGACCTCGCTCATCTTCTTCCTCTTCCTCTAGCTCATCCTGCTGCAGATACATCCTTGCAGGTGGGACAGGACACGGAATTTCTTGGTCATAGCTAAAATTAATTTTTTTAAAAAATAAGGACTTAAAATTTACTCTGTAATTAGCGTATCTGATACACATATAAATAGCCCAGAAAAACCCATTATATGTGCTCTTGAAAACTGCTTAGCAAGGATGTACTGAGTGGATGTACAACACTGTCAGTAAGCGATCTCTCTAAATAGCCATACTACAGCTAGTTGAGGAGCAACAGAACAGTACTGAAGGAAAGTCTCACTGCCAGCTTGTAGGGCAAATTACAATTCAATTAACTAGTGATTAAAGTGAGAAATGGATGATGTATTCATTTTTCTTACCTTTCATCCACTGAAAGACTGTAATCTTCACTATTGCTATGGGGAGGTGGATGTGCTGGAGGCGGTGGAAGAAGATCTGCCCAGTTCATGCCAGCTTGCTTGGGAGCCTTTGGGGTCCGAGCACCTTTCTTGTGCCCTTGACTCCCTATGAATAAAAAATAGTACATATTTGTAATGCTTTTAAGTATCTCCTCACCAGTACACTTTGAAAAACACAATAACTGCAGTCCCTCCCAGATCCTCTTGATTCTTCTTCTCTAGGAATTTACTGTTCTGCTGGGTTGGAATAAACTGGCATTCCTTTTTTACACCAATTTGTAATTGTAGTTTCTTTGTAGTATTACTCTACATCTTTTAAGCACTTGAATTTAAGCAGAAACTTTACATAGCATGGAAAAAGCACACAGGATACAAATCTTGAATTGTTAATACATAGCCTAAATGCGATAAAACCATAAATGAATTTTACAAGCAATGCCACTGAGCTTCCTACTTCTATTAATTATATTACAGATTATCATCTAAAACAAATGAGCTGTAGACATATTTTCTAAAGTGCCTTTATACTATTTAATTACTGGAACTTAAAATACAATATGATACAGATATGATCTATTAAAGTTCCACTGTTGCATTAAGTCACTGAATATATGTAATTTGTACTTGTCCACTGAAACGTTTTAGGCACAATGAAATTACTAGTTTTAGTCTAAATGGCAGGTACAGTTGAAAATAATCGCTGGAAGAACTAAAATAACAGAAAAAAGAAGAAAGAAGATTGATGAAGTATGGCGCAAATGTTTTCAACTACTATTACTGGAAAATTATAGCTCATAATAGAACAATGGAGCTTTAACAGTTCCAATAACTTTGAATAAGACTACTTAGTCAGGTGGTCTTGAATTTTGACTTTGGACACAGCTATGATCTGAACTGACTCTACCACTGTTCCTTGATATACATTTTTATCCTTCTTTCTTACTGTTACTTCTTTAATTGTAGACAAAGTCACTGTATTTTTGAGTATGTTTTAGAACCCTTTGTATTTCTCTCTTCAACTGAGGCATGGTTTTTCACTACCTCAGTTATGTCTTATACACACGATTAAATATGTTGCAGTGAGATTTAGGAAGCTTGTTTTTCTCAGTTCTCCTGTCTCAAGATTTTCCATTCTTATGGATAGTAGGTCTGCTTATTATTGTTCAACATTAGCTGCCAGATACAAATATGTTTTAGCTATGTACAATTATTTTTCTGGAATCTCAGTATGTCAAGCAAGACTCTAACTATCCCAAGGTGACCATGATCTTCATTCTCTCCCCTAAGGACCATGATATATACTTGGTTCAATGCAATTAATTTATTACTCTGGTCACCTTGCTTCATTCCTGC